AAAGAGTGTATTCAGAAGAGTCTTCTACTACTGAAATTTTTGCACATGGGTGTAAGTTCAAAAGAAGGCTGTGACAAGTTGGTGGCTGTAGATGACACAGATCATCTGCGGCCACTGGACAAGCGCCAGAGTACAAGCTCTGTGGTGGAAGAACATTTCCAAGCCTCTGCATCTCCCACCAAAGCAGCGCCCCCTGCTGTGGAAGATAGGAGTCCTGGCTTGGATGTCCTGCCCACGCTGCCGCCCAGCAGTGGTGCTCCTGCCACGGAAGTGTCCTCTGCCACAGCTGAAGAGCCCTCGTCACCTTCCACTCCCACCCGGCGGCCTCCCTTCACCCGGGGGCGGCTCCGGCTGCTCTCCTTCCGCTCAGTGGAGGAGGCCAGACCGTTGCCCACAGTGAAAGAGAAGTACCCTGTGCTGAAGGATGCCATGGACTTCATTAAAGATCAGTCACTCTCCCACGAGAGGTGAGCGCCTTCTCTTTTCAAGCAGCAGGTACCCAGTCTTGTCAAAGACTTGAAGTTCATGTTAAAAACGAGCAAATAGGGCTCCCCTGGTGGCGCAGTGGTTGAGAGTCCGCCTGCCGATGCAGGGGACACGGGTTCGTGCCCCGGTCCGGGAAGATCCCACATGCCGCGGAGCGGCTAGGCCCGTGAGCCATGGCCACTGAGCCTGTGCGTCTGGAGCCTGTGCTCTGCAACGGGAGAGGCCACAACAGTGAGAGGCCCACGTACCGCAAAAAAAAAAACAAAAAAACAAAAAAAAAACGAGCAAATAATACTTGGAGGACAGATCAAGATTTGTCTTAGAATGTTCAAGAAAAAAGTTTTGATTTTGTTTTTCTTTTAAAGAAGTATTTTTTTCACTTGAGATTTGTACATTATGCTATATATACGTTATATCAATAACGTACCATTTGGATAAGAAAAGAAACATTTCTCTTCGTAGCTGCCAAAATAAATTTGTCTTATTTTAACGCTGGGAGAAATTTAGGATTTGATGTTTTCTGGCAAAATTACTTGTCAGTGGACCTATACCTCTGGAAGTATTGCATATTTTAATTTCCTGTCCTAAGTTTGTCCCTGGTTTACCACAGAGACAGAGTTCCTTTTTAATGAATTAATTGTTCAGCGTGAGTTGTTGGGCTTCTGGACAGTGAACTGATTTGTAGTGCTGCCGAGTAATGACTAAAAGTAGCAAACAGGTCTTGCTATCCTTCCTGAATGATACCTCACAATAGTGTTTCCTTTTATTAATATGGCATCAGAACTTGGGTAGCGGGTTTGTTTTTTTTCTGCCCCAGCTCGAGAGTTTTCTGGGTGTTCCTGACTTGAGTTCTGTCTCCAGTGTTGTAAAGGTTCTTTCCTTGAGGAAGGCCCAAGCCCGGAGCATTCTCGAGGTCCTGAGGATCATTCAGTGTTGTACAGAGTCCCTTGGGCAGCCTCACTGCTTCCACCCGCCTTTCATACTTTTCCTGTTGGAACTTCTGACCTGCCAGAAAGAGTTTACCAAGTAAGTCCAAAGTACGAGCCTGCGAGGAAGACAAGCCGGGGTCGTTTTAAAGAAATCCTGATTGTCTTCTCTAAGTAAGAGCTCTATCATTTCCATGTAGGATACAAATTTATGTTTTTGAACAATTCATTCTCTAAGAAAAATGGGTTCTATCCTTTTAGTAAGTAAATACCAGAACATGTTTATTCCTCTTGATGAGTTTATCAGCTTTATTTTACCAATGAGGGTTGTTTTGCCTGTGCACCCGTACTCATCATTTGGCTCCTGCAAGCTGTGGGCCACATTTAATGCTCATTTACCGTAACAACATAAATCCAAGTACCTCACAAGGTTGTTTCAGCAGCCACTCGGTAAATACCTCCCGAGTGTTGTCCCTACCAGCCACTGTTCTAGGCGTTGTATATCGCAGTGGGCAAGGCAGACAAGATCCTTGTTCTAGTGGAGCTTGTATTCTGTTTAGGAGAGACAGACAAAACAAAACAAACACAAACAAATGAAAAATATAATCTATAATCTGGCTATGTGGTGATTTCATACAGAGTGACCTAATTTGTGTAGTTGGGTTAGGCAGGCTGAGGAGAACATGGAACCAAGGCATGACTTGACCACCTGAGATCCGAGGGAAGAGCAGCACTAAAGGCAGAAGGACCACCACACAGACCCTAGGGTGGGGGATTAGCCCAAGGAGCAGAAAGAAAGCCAGTGTGCCTGAGCGAGAGAAATAGGAGGAGGTGAGGTCAGAAAATTAGGGCCCATATTACGTAAAGCTTTGTAGGATATGATTTAAGGTGTTTGGATTTTACCCAGAGTTGTAGCTGGGAAGTCCCTGGAGAAATTTAAGCCCAAGGGGAACACACTGTGATATATATTTATGAAAGATACTTCTGGCTACTACATGAAAAAGAGTGGAAGGAAGAAAAGCAGTGGAGAGACTGCTGCAGTAGCCCAGGCAAGAGGTGGAGGTGGTTTGGACCAGGAGATAGTACTGGAGAAGGAGAGAAAAGGATGAGATTCAAGATACACTGTGGAGGTGGAATTGTAAGGACTTGTTGATGGATTAGATGTAGAGGGTGAATGAAAAGAGTCATGGGGAAAGAAACCTCTAGGATTTTGACTTGAGCCGCTGGGTGGATGGTGATACATTTTACTGAGGGGAAGAGTATGGAAGGAACAGGTTGGGGTGATAATCAAAAGTTTTGTTTTGTCCATGTTAAGTTTGAACTGCTTCTTTCATACCCAAGTAAATATGAGAAAATAGAGATAAGAGTCTAAAGTTCTCAAAAGAAACCAGGAGTAGGGATAGAATTTGGATGTTGTCAGTATATAGATGGTACATAAAGCCGTGTGACCAGATGAGACCTTCTAGAAAGAGTGCAGAGAGGTGGACAAGAGGGGGCTCTGGACTGAGCATTAGGGGCACTTCTTTATTTAGATGAAGTCAAGCAGAGGAAGAGGAGTCAGCTGAGGAGACCAGGGAGTGAGCACCAAGAGCAAAAACCAGGGGATGGTGGTGCCGTCGAAGCTGACAGAAGACCGTATCTCAAAAGATAGAAATGGGACTTCCATGGTGGTGTGGTGGTTAAGAGTCCACCTGCCAATGCAGGGGACACGGGTTCAATCCCTGGTCCAGGCAGATCCCACATGCTGTGGAGCAACTAAGCCCATGCACCACAACTACTGCACCCGCGCGCCACCACGATTGAGCCTGCATACCACAACTGCTGAAGCCCATGCACCTAGAGCCCGTGCTCTGCAACAAGGGAAGCCACTGCAGTGAGAAGCCCACGCACCGCAACAAAGAGTAGCCCCCTCTCACCGCAACTAGAGAAAGCCGGTGCACAGCAACGAAGACCCAACACAGCCAAAAGAAAAAAAAAAGATAGGAATGGTCCATTGTGTCAGATGCTGATGTGAGAGGTTGAGCGAGACAAGAACACACTAGATTTGACAGCAGTCTTACTGGAGCCATGAGGCCACAAGCTCTGTTGGACTGGGTTGAGAAGAGAATGGGGGTGATGAAATGGAGAGGGAGACTAGACAATTATTTCAGGAAATTTGGCCTTAAAGGGGAGCAGGGGATTAGGATAGTAATTGCAGGGGATGTCGCATCAGCTGAGGGTTTTGAAGAGATAGCAGAGTATACTGTACACTGGCGCGAGTGGGTCAGTAGTGAGGAAAACTCGATGCAGGAAGGAGGGCTTAATTACAGTAGCAGTGGTGTAAGTATAGTGGTCGGCCTTTGAGAGCCAGGGAGACTATCTCTGGCAGCAGGAGGAAACACACTGGGGTAGAGATGCAAGTTGGTTGGTAGGTTTGGTGGTGCAAAGATGGGGGAGTTCCTGTGGGATCATTTCTCTTTTCAAAATATAAAATTTGAGGGTAGTTATCAGCTCTAAATGATGGCTTAGGAGGAGGCAGTGGAAGTTTAAGAAGCAGCAGGAGGTTTGAAACAGTAGTGAAAATTGAGACAGCCGGTCTTATTGCCTGACAGTTTGGAGAGATTATTTGAGAATTATGGTTGTGAACGTAAAGTGCTACTAGTCAGCTTGGTTGTGTGGTGTTCCCTCCAGCAACAATTAGCTATTTTGATGTTGGCGTATAATTTCTCAGGCAATTATGTGGAGGGAGAAGGCAGCAAATGACTTGGTGATTGCTAAGGTATGATTATGGTGACGGGCCATGGAATTGAAGCTGAGTACGGGGCCAAGAGAAAGCCTGGCGGCAGTGGTGGATAGTCAACGTGAGGGAGCGTCATGGCTTGGGGCTCCCTGGGATTGGTGGGAGTCACAGTGTAGGTGAGCAGGGTGAGAGGTCAGTCAGAGCAGGATGCTCTGAAGTCAGGATTTCAGAGAGAACGCCGTTACTGTGGTGGCAAGGTCAAGGAAATGACCATCAGACGGGGATGGCAAAGGGGCTGGAGGAGAAGATGGCAGAGGATCCGGAGACGGCAGAACTGGGGCATCGTTCCCATGGGTGTTGGAGTCTCCAAGGTGACAAGGATCAAGGTCGGAAAGACACTGAGCTTGGCACTAAAGTCGTCACTGAAGGGAGGCAGAGGGGTGGGCGTGACTGTGTGGAGACGATTAAGTTTGGTAATCTGTGACGAATACTTAACATGGTACCAGGCGCTCAGGTAGTGGTGGGAAGGGTGGTTTTTATAATAACAAAGAAAGGTTAATAATTGTCATCTCCATACTCCTGGTGGGCAACCTTCTTGATCCAAGCAGATGAGTCACTTGCTGTTTTGTCTGTTACTTTCTGAAGTTATGTTTTAATTTATTTAAGTTTCTGTGCCACTTCGTTAGCAATTAAGTGATTAATGTTCTGGCAATTAAGTGACTGGTAATTTCTTCTGTTTCTAGTTATTTTGGACACCTGGAGGGCTGTGGTGCGGATCTACACAAAGAAATTCGAGACACTTACTATCAGTTTGTTCTGTTTTTGGTCAAAGCAGTTAAAGGATTTAGTAACATAAACGACAGGTACGGGATAATTTTATGATTTCTAGAGAAAAAATTATTTCTGTTTTTTTCTGATTTTTTTAAAGAAATACATGTCCACTGTTACAGAAAAGCACAAAGAGTAAAATAAAAATAACCCCCAATCTTACCGTCTAGAGCTAATTGCTAATGTTAACGTATCAGTATATTTTCTCCCAGCCTTTTTTCTATATGGTGTGTACGGTTTTTTAAAGTGGATGGGTTTTGGTTCATCTGAAAATTTGTAACCTGTTATTTTCAGTTTTAGAAACTTGAATACACACTTTGCTGTACACCTGAAACTAACACAACATTGTAAATCAGTTATATCCCAATAAAAATTAAAAAACAAACAAAACTTGAATAGAAAGCCATTCCCCGGTCTCCTCCATAGTAAGTGGTTTAGACATAAACCTTAAATCAAATGGTTCTTCTCTACATCTGAGCTGTGTAACCTAGGCTAATTGGGCCTGGCCCTGACCTTGCTGTTTATCAGAGGTGAGTTTTACTACTCGGTCCTTTACCGTAAAGTGTCCCCTGTGGTAGTCCTAGCAGGGTGGAGACCTTTCTCTTTATGCTTTCAGAACTCTTTTGCTTAATCTGTTGTTTGAAGAAGGTTTGTATGGAGTCTGAGAAATTTGAAAAAAGATTATAAGGAACCCAAACCAGCAATCTGGCGTTCCCTTCTGTTTTCCACTGACAAGCACACCAGGTCTCTGATTCACATTGTTTCTGTTGTCTCCGTGGATGATGGGCAGCTTTAGTAACTTTCACCTTCGTGGCCTCTTCAGGTCCTTGCTGCCTGCCTTGTCCTGTGTCCAGACAGCCCTGCTTCATCTTTTGGATATGGGCTGGGAACCCAGTGATCTCACCTTCTTTGTTGACATTCAGTTACCAGATCTCCTCATGAAAATGTCACAAGAAAATATAAGTGTCCATGACAGTGTGATCAGGTAAGGACACAGTCCTGCATTCTGCAGTTCCTACAGTAACTAATCAAGTACAGGGATCGTAGCACATTCAGAGCTCGGGCCTGGAGCTAGACTTTCTGGGGAGTATCCTGGCTTTGCCACATACTAGCTGGATGACCTCGGGCAACTTTTTAAACTCCTTTGTGCCTCAGTTTCCTCATCTTTAGAGCTGGAGGTAATAACAGTACCTACCTCAGGATTGCTGCGAAGAATGAATGAGTTCCATTTCTCAGTGTTTAGCAGGTATCTGGTGCATGGTGTTGTATATAAACTGGTGGTGGTGGTATTGTGAACTCAGCATGAGTTTTCTCCTCGTTTTTGGAGATCCTCATGTAGCTTGTTGAATTGGAGAATCCTTTTCTGTTGGTGGTGGTGGTGGTGGTGTGTGTGTGTGATTTTTAGCCACTGTAACCTCTTGCACATTAGAAGGACTTAAGGTATGAGGGGAAAAAATAGTATGCAAAGTTTTCTTTTTTTTTTTTCTTTCCACTTCTCATTCCACTTACCCATTAATCACTCATGTCTGTAGAAAAGAAAGAAGAGAAAGGGGGAAGAAGAGCAAGAGGAGATAATTAGGAGGAAATCAGTGAATGAGTCAACATCAATTTTCACTCTCTCAGAAGAGATATCTTGGGAAAAGGACATAGAATTTAAGCGGTCTCCTTGTTTACAAACCGCAGCCATTGCCCTGCTGTCAGAGGGAACTCTTGGCGGAGGGCTGGGACACAGCAAGGAGGAGGAATGGGTGGGGCATCAGCTTGCTGGCTCTTCAGCCATCAGCCTGCTTCTTGTTTTCAAGCTTCGCCTGCTCCTACGTGACGCAGTCCTTGGGAGTAGGGACCGCACCTTCCTCACCACTCCCCATAGCACCCGGAGCAGAGCTCAGTTTGAGTAGGCCTGAAGTCAGTTTGTTGGAACACGCGAATGAACAAATGTGTATTTGTTGGTTGGTAGATGTTTTGCATTTGCTGTCGAGCAAATAGTTGTGTATTTAAAATTCCGGTTGCTGAAACAAACTGTAAACTGAAATTATGGAAATCTGTAATTTTGCACCTAAAAGGAGTCCCTGAGATTATCTATTAGAAATGAGGAAACTGAGGACCAGGGCTGATTGGTGTGTCCAGGTCTTACAGCAGCCAGCGGGAGAGCTGAGGCCCCAGGGTCTCCTGACTCCCTTCTCATGCTGCTACCACTAGGGTGTGCTGAGCATGTCCAAATCGGACTTTTTTTTTTTTTTTTTTTTTTTGCTTTATTTGGCTCCAGTGCCTGGCACATAGTAGGTTCACCACAAATGGTTGTTGAGTGGCATTATGCCATGTAGGTACAACCTTTCAAGCTCCAATTCCTCACCCATTGTAGTTTACTCTGGAAGGGGCTTCTCCCTTTTTATTGGTATATATCTATCAAACATCTGGCAAATCCTGGGGCTTTGAAAACCAAATTGACCTCTTCCCTTCAGAAGTTTAAAAGTGCCTCGTTTATTAGACCCATAGGACACAGAGTCTGCTAACAAGCACTTTCCTTGATTATTGGGAGAGGCATGCTTTTCTCTCTTTATGTCCTTCTTTCAGCCAATGGAGTGAAGAAGATGAGCTTGCTGATGCCAAGCAGAATTCAGAATGGATGGATGAGTGTCAGGATGGCATGTTTGAGGCCTGGTATGAAAAAATAGCCCAGGAAGATCCAGAGAAGCAGAGGAAAGTAAGACCTCTCAACTAGAGTAACCTGAAGTGACTTGCTAGGAGTTTGGAGAGGAGAGTCTGTGCGGGGGAGTGCCAGCAGGCTGTCCCCTGAGAGGGCTCCAGGTGGCAGTCAGTACCTTAGTGAGTGGCCATCACCCAGCCTAGTCTTTAACCTGAGGGGCCCTGAATCCTGACTTGACCACAGTCAGGTGGTGGTTCCCTCCCGCAGAACTAGATTCACAGGAAATAGGCTCGTGGGGCTGAAGTAAAATATTAGGTGCCAGTTTATTAATTTATAGTGAGAAATAGAATTGCTGAAGGCCCTGGATTCTGTTGTCCGTGGTACATTCTTTTCCTCTAGGCAAGCCACTTGGGAAGTCATGTTTCAATCAGAAGGTTGCCTGGTGAGCGTGGAAGCAGCCATGTGTGCCCAGAATCAGAGTTACATGATTCATATGTGTAGAGGCATCAGGCTCACATAGCCTGCCATGTCCATCTCCACATTAGGGGTTTATCTGTCACCGCCACATTATGCCAGGCATCTGCTGCTTCAGATGCATTCATTTTCTTAGTTTGTGTGCCTACTATGTGCCAGTTCTTTGCTCATTTGGCATCTCTGTGGTGCTTGGATGGAGCACACCAACTTGGCCTTTGCGATTTTTCTCTCTTGTATGTTAATACCTTATTGGGAGCCATTCTAAGGTGGCTTGGCATATTTGCTATGCTATACTACTGTATGGTGACTTAGTGGTTTATTTCCCTTATTTCTAGGCCGTAAAGATAAAGCATACTGTAGCCTCCAGGGACTTCGCAGTAAAACAGTTTGTTTTGCTCATGAAATGGTGCCCGTACTCTTACCCCAGAAAGTTTTTCTTCTTAAGTGCCAGCAAACAGTGCTGCTTTTGCAGTGTTTCCTGTATCTGTGAACACTACCCTTGTCCAGCCAAATACCCAAGCCAGAAATCTGGATGTTGTTCTTAACCCTTCCCTTTCACGGGCCCCTATAACCAGTTAGCCCCCAAGGTCCCTCACATCTGCCTTCTACTACCTCTCAGCTCTCCCACCTTCCACCATCTCACTTTTGGCCCAGTCCAGCCCTTATCACCTGTTGGGGGGGTGCTTTAACAGCTGCTGTCAGGGTCAGTCTCCCTGTCTCCAGTGTTGCCCCCTCTGATCCGTTCTCACTCAGTAACCAGAGGAGCTTTCAGAATGCTCAGTTACTCTTCTGTTTAAAACGTCCGTGACTCCTTAGACTAGCATCCCAGGCACTTGTGGTTTAACCTTTCTAACTTTATCTGGTTACCCCCCCACACACACTGTATTCTGCATACGGAATTATTGCCAAGTTCATGAGCCCTTGCCTTGATCCTTTTGTGCCTCCTGTAGAACTTGCTATTGCGTTTATCCGGCGTGCCCACCACCCTAACCCCCAGCCAGCTAATGCCTGTTTGCCCCTCAGGTCTCACCTGAGGAATTAGCACCTTTGAAAAACCTCCACGTGCCCTGTAAGCCTCCTGAAATTGTCTATCCAAGCCCCTGTCATACTGTGTGCTGTCATCTGTTTGCTTCAGGGAATTCCCAACTAGACACTAAGCTCCTACATCTCCTAATCCTAGCACCTAGTACAGTGCCTGGAATATTTTAAGTACATACTGAAGGATGGATTGATTACTGAATAGTGGCCGCATTAAAAGTCTGTTGGTTAATTGGGTTTTATTTCATCTTATAGATGCACATGTTTATTGCTCGCTACTGTGACCTCTTAAACGTGGACATCTCTTGTGATGGGTGTGACGAAATTGCCCCCTGGCATCGCTACCGGTGTCTGCAGTGCAGCGACATGGATCTCTGCAAGACTTGCTTCCTAGGTAAATTTCACGGCCTGAGTGTGCCATACCCAAAAGGAATAAGCATTTCTATTTTCTGTGATCTTGTCATTTTTTTATTTTTTTTTATTTTTTTTTATTTTTTATTTTTTTTAGATGTTGGGGGTAGGAGTTTATTAATTAATTTATTTATTTTTGCTGTGTTGGGTCTTCGTTTCTGTGTGAGGACTTTCTCTAGTTGTGGCAAGTGGGGGCCACTCTTCATCGCGTTGCGTGGGCCTCTCGCTATCGCGGCCTCTCTTGTTGCGGACCACAGGCTCCAGACGCACAGGCTCAGTAGTTGTGGCTCATGGGCCTAGTTGCTCCGCGGCATGTGGGATCTTCCCAGACCAGGGCTCGAACCCGTGTCCCCTGCATTAGCAGGCAGATTCTCAACCACTGCGCCACCAGGGAAGCCCGATCTTGTCATTTTTTAAACTCCCACTGTACAGTAACAATACTGCCCCAGCAGTGTTCTCTGACTTGTTGGTGAATATGACCCTTATCTCCCCAACTGAATGATAAACTCCAGAGCTCTGTTATGTGATGTGCTGTCATCTTCTGTCTTGCTGGGTATAGGCACTTGATAAACACTCAGCACCAATGAATGTACATTCAGTTGAGTTTTCAGGAAATGATTTTGCCTTCTGAATCATGCAGTGTTTATAAGAAGTAAAATACACACAAGCAAACGTCAGAAAGTCTTGAATCCTCTTGACTTGTAGGTGCTGAGATAAAGCAGGTTGTCAGTAGTAAGCAGTTGAATGCTCTTTGTGTGCATCACACAGTCGAATAAGATACAGCCCCTGCTCTGGAAGCATTTATAGTCTTAGCAGGAGACTGGACCTGCTCACAAAATATATATTCCAGGACAAGAGTGTACATGCTGAGTTACAGATGAGCAGTATAGATTGTTCTGGAAAAGTTCAGAAGTAGGGAAGGCTACCATTGCAGGAAGGCTTGCAGAGGAGATGGGATATGAATTCGTCTTTGAAGAAAGTTAGAACTGGTCCGAAGCTGAGCAGGTCCAGGGACAGAGGAGTGAGCGTATGTAGTGTGTTTAGACAGACTCTCCAGTGTCTGCTGCTGAGTGATAGATTGAGACAGGTTGGGTCCAGGTTGTAGGACCCAGAGATACCAGGCTCAGGAATTTGAATGAGTCTACAGACAGTGGGGAAGTGACCAGAGCTGTGCTAGAGAAAGGGGGTTCTGTCCATGTAAGAGTTTCCTTTAGGAAATCAGTCACAATAGTGACAAGGGGATTAGTGCCTGGACTGGGTTTCTGGCAGTGGGAACTGAAGTGGGTCAGAGGTAAGGAGCATTGAGCAGGGTGTATGACGGGGCTCAGAGACCCATTGGACTCAGAGTAAGAAGGAGACCAGAGCTGTCAGCCTCTTTCGTGACTAACATTCTTTCTCACTCAGTGGGTCTGTGGTTATGGAGTCTGTTTTCATCTATGATTCTGAAATGAAAAAGTAAGAGCAAATACCTGATAACTTCTCAGTGCCTGTTAAGAAGAATACACCAATATTTGTTAGAGGAGAGGTCATGGGAGACAGCCCACAGATTGGTGTGTGGACTTGTGCTGCCAGATGGAGGTCATGATGGGATTGGTGACCTGTTTGATCAGACTCCGTATTGCGCTGGAAAAGCAGGGTCCATGCATGGTACCATTGCTAAGATGTTCCATGCCAAGAACATCTTGCATATGCTAAGAGCCACCTGGGGAACCCTTGGTCTCCAGAAGATTCCTGTGGCCTGTGACGCCCTGATCAATCTGTTGGGAACAACCCTGCTTCTGGGGTTGGTTTGGGTTTGGAAACTAGCCCTTCTAAGAGCCCTTTGCCCAATTCACCTCACACTGCTGTTTTTCCCCCAGGTGGGGTGAAGCCTGAGGGCCACGGAGATGACCACGAAATGGTCAACATGGAGTTTACGTGTGACCACTGCCAGGGTTTGATCATAGGCCGGAGGATGAATTGCAATGTGTGCGATGACTTTGACCTTTGCTATGGATGCTATGCGGCCAAGAAATATTCCTATGGGTATGTCTCAGATGACCTCTAGCCTGGTAAACTTTTCTTCATGTATTCTTTTGCCCTTTTTTTAATAATTAAAAAAAAAATTGCATTATAAAAAATTTCAAACATAACCCACAAGTAAAGAGAGTAGTACAATGAATCTTCACGTAACAATGACCCAGAGTCAACAATTAGGAAGATTTTGCTGTGTGTGATTAGCTTATTCTTTTTTTTTATTTTCCTTTGTTAAAGTATTTTAAATCAAATTCCAGACCTTAAATCATTTCCTTCCTGCATACTTCATATCCATCTCTAAAGATTATGGTCATTTTCTCACGTTACCAAAATGCTATAACCACACCCTGCGAAACTTCACAATAAGGAATTCTTACTTCACCTGGTTTCCATAGACAGTCTTCTGGGGGTTGTGAAATCCCAGAATGGAATGTGCAGTGTTTGTTCATTTTTCTGAAGAGAGGGCCCATACCCATCTTGAAAATTTTTTTAATATAAATTTATTAATTTTATTTATTTATTTTTGGCTGCATTGGGTCTTCGTTGCTATGCGCGGGCTTTCTCTCTAGTTGCGGCGAGCAGGGGCTACTCTTCGTTACAGTGCGCGGGTTTCTCATTGCGGTGGCTTCTCTTGTTGCGGAGCACAGGCTCTAGGCGCATGGGCTCAGTAGTTGTGGCTCGTGGGCTCTAGAGCGCAGGCTCAGCCGTGTGGCGCACGGGCTTAGTTGCTCCATGGCATGTGGGATCTTCCCAGACTAGGGCTCGAACCCGTGTCCCCTGCATTGGCCGGCGGATTCTTAACCATTGCACCACCAAGGAAGCCCTGTCTTTAAATTTTCAATAACTCAATAGCCACAGTCTTAGAGCTACCTGATGCCCAGTTGTGACCGTGCATGTGGTCCCCTGAGGCCCGATTCTCCCTTTTTGGGGGCTCAGAAAGGCCTGTAGGCCTTAAAGATGTCTTGCCTTTGCAGCCACTTGCCTACCCACAGTATCACTGCCCATCCGATGGTGACCATCCGGATCAGCGACCGGCAGAGGCTCATCCAGCCCTACATCCACAACTACTCCTGGCTGCTCTTCGCCGCCCTGGCTCTCTATAGCACCCACCTGGCCAGTGCCGAGGACGTGGATGGCGAAAAGCTGGATCCCCAGGCCCGCAGCAGTGCTGCCACCCTGCGGAGCCAGTGCATGCAGCTCGTCGGGGACTGTCTGATGAAGGCTCACCAGGGAAAAGGTAATTGTTCCTCATGCATGGAAACCAGACCACCCCTCGGCTGCTTGTGAAGCAACAGCCCCAGTGGAAGTGAAATGCAGTGCTCAGTTCAGAAGCAGTAAAACCCAGTTTTCCACAAGAGGTGCTCACCCTGGAGTGGAACCTAATTTTAAATCCCCAGATACAGGACTTCCCTCGTGGTCCAGTGGGTGAGAATGCGTGTTCCCAATGCAGGGGGCCCGGCTTCGATCCCTGGTCGGGGAACTAGATCCCACATGCTGCAACTATGAACCAGTGCAGCCAAAATAAATAAATAAATAAATAAATTTTTTTTAAAAAAAATCCCCAGATTCATTTGAGAGAAATGTCAGCATTAAAGTAGCATTTAGTTTCTCTAAAATATTTCATGAAGATGTAAAAAAAATTAATAATTAAAACTCTTGATGTCCGGGGATGAAGTATTTAGTATTTGAATCCACCAGACTTAACTTTGCCAAAGGAATGCAGCCTTTTGTTAACCTGGAGTGCAAATCTGCTTCCACACAACTGTGTTCTAGATGAGAGCTATTTATAACTAAAATAGTTTGATTAGGGACTTCCCTGGTGGTCCAGTGGTTAAGACTCCACACTCCCAAAGCAGGGGGCCCAGGTTCGATCCCTGGTCAGGGAACTAGGTCCCACGTGCCACAACTAAGAGCCCGCATGGATCCCGCATGCTGTAACTAAAGATCCTGCACACCGCAACGAAGATCCTGCATGCCGCATCTAAGGCCCGGCACAGCCAAATAAGTAAATAAATACGTATTTTTTTTTAAAAGTCTGACTAATAAAATATCTAGATGACTTTGAATCTACTGAGGGGTGCCAAGGAGAAAAACAATGTGAATGTTCAACTTCTGAGTAATTTAAATTCCTTTCAGAATAATGGACTAACTCCCCATTCCAATAAACACTAGGGAAATCAGACTTGGATGAAGTGGCAGGTGGGTAACACCAGTGCTTCAGAGCTGTTTCGTTGTCTGTTTGCCAGTGGAAATTTAGAAGTCTGGCTGTTTGGGGCTACTACAAACTTTTAATGTTTATGATTTTATAAACAGACAGTCCTATTGTATCTTTTGTCCTCTATGGTTAATAAAGTACAAGTATCCCCCGCTGTCGAAACTTTCGGTGTCTGAAATCAGGAGCTGAGTAGATTTGGACAGCCATGGCGAGGGGGCTGGGAGGGTGGAAGGTTGGATGGAGTACTCTTTGGTTCAGTTCGTGGAGAACTCAGCCATGTATTTCCATAGAGTAGCAAAGTGATTTACGGCATTTGCAGGGAATAATCCTTATTATAAAACTTGTAACCATTCTCTTATTTGCTTCCCATGTAGGTCTTAAAGCTCTAGCTCTTCTTGGTATATTGCCAGACGGTGACTCTACTTCAGAAAAGCAGGCCCCACCGGTCACTGTGCCCACCCAGACATCAGAGGAGCAGCCAGAGAAAAAAGCCATCCAGGCTGCTGTGGAGCCAGCCGATGCAGGCCCATTTGTGCACCGCAGTGTAAGTAACAATCCTTCCCTGGGCAGAATCACAGGTGAGCTCAGAGCTTTCACACGAGGGACTAGAACACAGGGGTTAACGGTATAGGCTCGTGACCCAGATTACCTGGGTTCAGATCCTCTGTCAGACCTTGGGCACGTCACCCGAATCTCTTGGCTTTGGTTTTCTCGTCGGTAAAAATGGAAGGATAATAATGATAATACCTATTCCCTAGGATTGTTGTGAGGATTTACATGCATTACATACATTGAGTTAATGTCTATAAAGTGCTTAAAACAGTGTTCAGGAACTTCCCTGATGGTCCAGTGGTTAAGACTCCATGCTCCCAGTGCAGGGGGCCTGGGTTCAATCCCTGGTTGGGGAGCTAGATCCCGCATGCTGCAACTAGGATCCTGCATGCCACAACTAAGATCCCGCATGCTGCAGTGAAGATCCCACATGCCGCAACTAAGATCCTGCATGCCGCAACTAAGAGCCCGCATGCCACAGTGAAGAGCCTGCATGCTGGAACGAAGATTTCCTCACGGAGCAACGAAGGTCCTGCATGCTGCAACTAAGACCCGGCACAGCCAAATAAATAAATAGATAAATAAGTAAACATTTTTTTAAGAAAAGCAGTGTTCATAGTAAGTTCCCTGTCAGTGTTAATTACTCCTGTTTCCTGCCTCCTGTGGTTTTTATAAGAATTGAACAAGATTATGCACCTAAAGAGATTGGTTCCTGACCTATGGTGAACACTGTATATGTGAAACTATTTTTATATTCAGCCAACAAATATGTGATACTAATTGCTTACTACTTACCAAGTAGTTTACATATGTAGTTTAGAGTAGTTTGCATATGCTTGTGTAAGTAGAAGAAAAGCCTTCCTGGATCCAGGTGGAACCTGTGACAGTGACATTAAGATTGCTCTGTGGAAGAGCAAGCAGAGCTTCCATGATGCTGCCTCCAAAGCTTGAGTTGGTGCTGTAAATGCCCCTGGCTTTGCCTCAAGAGCTGCTGCTGTTTCTGTCCTCTGTCTCTGTTGTGGAGGATCCCCATTTGGTGGTTGTAGCTCACTGGGATCCTGTTGTCATTTAGAGGAAGGCAAAAGCAAAGATGGCTGGCAAAAACTTGAAAATTCTATTAGCTTCATTCCGCCAGAGAGCCAGCACAGGACAAGTGACATAATAACCTTCAAGCCTGTTTTGACCACAAAACCCCTTCTCCAGGCAGCATCGTACCCACCCACAGATTATGGTGGGGCAGAAAGAACATTATCAGCAGAGACAGGATAAATCAGCAGTCTTGTCTTCACCTTTGAGCCTGGGAATGATTGTATCTTCTTGTGAGCTCCCAGCATCTTATGCTACCCATCAGCACAGCACTCCCCATGTATCTACTTATTCATTTATTTATATGAAAATGGACTCGGTGAATTTTTTATTCAATGGATTAAAATCATTTACTTTTTATTACTTACTTTGATGCTCATATTGTCTCGTGTTTGGCCAATGGAAACTTCCAGCTGGCTTTTGTGTCCTTTTGATATGTCTCCATTATTATTTGAGCACTTTCTTAATTTTTGATACAAAAAGATGTTTCAGGCTTATCTTATGCTTTCCCTGCCTAGGGACTGGAATCAGCCTTTTTCTAAGGATCTCCCAGGGCATTATTTTTATTCCTGAGGTGTCCCTACCTTTTGGGTCCTCTTCCCATCAGCAGCTGGGTATACCCAGGGTACCCTGCCTCTGCCTCTGGCTCTTAGTCTTCTCTCTAGCAAATTGCAGTTTCCAACATTGTGCCCACAACAGAACCCAAACGTCCCCACTACAATGGCCCTAAGAACCATATCCTATTTGGGCCCTGAGTACAAATCACTTGTTTTTGAACTTCTGCACGTTTCTAGCCAATCCTAGGCTGTATTAAGGGTATTGTCCCTCCTTCCCTCTCATGTCTAGAGATACTTTTTGTTTTAAACAACTGAGAAAGCAGTCTCAGCCAGAGACATCATCTGTCTACAACGGCCTTTGGCCAGTAATGAGACCCTCTTGAGTGCCATGTGGTGCAACTGCAGTGGCTCTTTGGAGTCCTGTGATAACAGGAAAGAAGATCAAGACTTAACATTATTAGTCAGAACTTTGGAATTATATTGTTTCCACAAAGGGCCACATAGTACAGAGATTATAGTGTTGGAGATCTTTTCAGAGGGTGCATTTTTAACAAGGCAGGTAGCTCTCCCAGTCTCGGTCCCCTTTTTGGACAATCTCTTTTTTTTCTATTAAATAACTGTATTTAAACTTATGTAGAGATTGAGAAATCCAAGATCAAGAAACAAGTCAGGAACAGAGCTGGGAAAAAAGGTCAGGTCTATGGATCTCAGCTTCATAGGAGAGAGAGAAGGTAGGGGACACAGTGGAAAGTAAAGGCACATTTGTTTTCATGTGGGTGAAGCTGACAATGTGTCGATTCATGATGTAGATGTGTTATCTTCCAAATGCAGAAAGCAGTTAGCTGACTTAACATAGGGAAAAACCGACAGTGACATGAGGACGGGGGAGGAGTCGCTAATTCGTGTCACGGGGGCAGGTATCTGTGTCACTGACTTTAATGATATTTTTGACTTGAACAGCCATTTTCTTTGTCTTTTCTTTGAAAACCTCATAGTCTTCAGGGCTCAGATCACGGCCTTTGGCAAGTGCCATCGTCAGGGAAGTCATGAAGCCGTCCTCACTTATGTTGACTAGAAAAATAATACATACCTTTCTGCAATCAGGAAGTGTGTATAAATAGTCCTTCCCTGAGTAGAGCGTGCTGAACCAGATAGCCACGGGTTTTTTTTGCAAGGAGGCTGAAGCTTTGACGTGTACAATTAACCCTTCGATAAAAGGTGACTCCAATGTCACCATTGGATGACTCGTTAATAAGCAGAAGTTCATCCTTAGTGGTCCATTTTCACTTACCATGTTTTCATTGTTGGCAGCCAAGTAAATGGTACTCCAGTTTCCAGTCCACTCTTCAAGCACCCACATTTTCTCTTCCATTTCCATTTCTTCTTCTGTATCTTGGGCAATACAGAGAATGCCTTAATTAAAAAAGTATATTGTTGTAAAAATGTCGCTGATGGACTTGCTCGATGCAGGGTTACCACAAACCTCAGAAAGCTCCAGTCATCCTGTGGTCCAACAGAACTGGTGCTGTGATCAGTTTCAAGCTTAGATTCAAGTTCCATTCTGTATCTTGGTTCCATGGTGTGCTTCAGGCAAATCTCTTGGACAATCTTATAGCCACTTTCTTCTTAGGGGGGTGTTGAGGGTAGGATTGATGTTGAGGTTACAGTATCTGGAGAAGGGAGGATAAGTCAGCTGCTGCTGGGAGACGTCAGGATCTTCTCATGAGTGTTTAGTGTTGGACAACGCTCCATCTTTGGCTCCAAAGTGCCCTGCCTTCGCAGACTCCTGGGAGCTAGGGTGCCTCCACCATGCACAGAAGACTTCCTGCCTGGCCTGGTTTCCACATGTAAGCCTGTGTGACAGCAAGGAAAAGTACCCTGAGGGCCCAGGGAGTGCAGGTGATTTTGGGGGTGACTCTGAGTGACTCCTAAGGAAATTCAGGTCAAGGACTGTCACCCTGCCAGTGCGGGCAGCTCACCGCCAGACTCCTGAGCCCAGAAAACCCTCCCAGCTCCAATGAGGGCCCCCTTTATAAGTCTCTCTGCCAAAATGGAATTCTCAAAGGTGTAAAGTCAGCTTACTGTGCTAGAAGGAAATCCACACCTCTGTTTTTTTTCTTTTTCCCCAAGAGAAGAACTGTCCATACCTGGCTTCTGGAAGATAAATAGAATGTGTTAGAGGTTTGTACCAGAGCCATTGCTTATGTGACTGCAGGCTCTGACAGAGCGGCATTTGGAAGGTGTTGGGGGGATGTGATGCAGTGATTACTGTCTTAATTAGAGTACAGATTTATCAGAAACGAGGGGCATTCTCTAATTCAAAAGTATTTTTGTTTGTGAAGACTGATTGGCTAGTGATTTTAAAAGTTGTATTAGATTAACAAGTAAACTTTTTAAAGAAAGAAACCTTAATTCTCTTACACTCACCGTTTTGTTTTTAGGGGAAGAGGGATGCCCCTAAGGAAGTCAGACCTTTAGACTGCAAGCAGAGGAGCAAGGCAGGGGGAGCTGCGTCACTACTGAAGGGTCCTTCCTGCCAGACGCAGATTTCAGACTCACCTGCAGATGCCTGTGCACCTCCAGAACTTCCAGGTAAAGACTCTTTGACAGTTACCTTGATCTCTTTCATCTTAAAGTGCACGCACACCCGTCCCTGACTTATTCCTTGCACACAATTTAAAATTGGCTAGCACCCAAGGGTGCATGGTTTCTCGGTTCTGCATCAGATGGTACTGATAACACTTTGAAAGTCACCTTTTCTTCATCTTGCCTGCTTTCCTACCTCGTTTATTCCCTAATTTACTGAGTGCCTTCTATGTGCCAAGCACTGTGCTAGGCCCTGGGGTTGAAACAGGGACCAAGTCAGACAAATAGACACATAGCTCCTGCCCTCACAGTGCTGACAGTCTGGGAGGGTTTAAGACAAAGGTGTGTGTAACTGATTTGAGCTGGGATGTGATTCTGTCCAGGAGAGAGGCCCAAGTGGGTGTTAGCGGTGATGGGTGTGTAGCTGGAACAGGTTGTGTCAGTGTAAAGCCCTTGTAAATAAGGCCTGCACGGGACCTTCAATGTGCTGAGATCTACTGGGGGGAAGGACATTCAGGGCAGAAAGAACTACAGGAGCAAAGAAAGGCCCCAGAGTGGGAACCCCCAGAGAATCCAGGCAGTCCCTTGGGGGGCAGGTGTGTAGGGAGGGAGTGGAGCACTGGAAGGTGGAAGTGGAGAGGGGCTGTGCACTCTGCTGTGGAGGCCCTCGGACACCTGCTGGGGATGGCAGCGCAAGGTCAGGGCTGTTTCAGGGCAACTGAGGAGCCAGGAGTGGGGGCGCTGTGGGCAGAAGGAGCGCGGCAGCAACGTCAGCCCAGTCCAGGATGGCTCGGGGAGGCGGGATCCTCCCCACACGGCCGCTCTGTGACAGGCAGGGGTGAGCGCCGGCATCCTGCCCCGTCCGTGGGGCCAGCTCTCAGATGGGGCTGACGCTTATCTCTGCAGGGCCTATAATTCTAAGGTCCAGAAAACAGTTTGACTCCATGTCAATCCAGGTCATCGAAATCCACTCTGGTCTGATTCCATCTGAGGAGCAGCATCCTGGTTCACATACAGTTTATTCATCCATCGAGTATTTATTGAATAGCTGCTGTGCTCCAGAAACATTTCTAGGTGTTTGTGATACATCATTGAAAAAAACAAAAATCTAGAAGGGAAGCCAGACGGTAAACAATCAATATCAAATAATATGGTGTGTTAAAAGGTAATTAAATGCCATGAGCGCAAAAGAGCAGGGGAATGGAGAGCGCAGAGGGGTTGGGAGAGATTGGAGGACAGGCTCAACCTTAAACCAGGGTGATCAGGACAGACCTCCTTGAGTAAGACGTGTTCAGCAATAGGTTTTTAAAGTCCCAGCTTGATTCTGTAGTGGCACAGGAACAGTGCAGTGGTTTACTTGCCTCTTCATACACATATAGAACCTGGCAAAATCTGAAAGCTTGGTGTTTTACAACTCAGATGCTGAAAATTCAGAAGCATCATCTCAGAAGCCCATCGAGGAAAAGGCAGTTACTCCAAGCCCTGAGCAGGTGTTTGCTGAGTGTTCCCAGAAGAGGATTTTGGGATTATTAGCAGCCATGTTACCTCCCTTAAACTCGGTAAGAGACAAATTGGCATTTAAAAAAAGCGGGGGTGGGGTGGGTAGTGTTATGCATAGAAAAAATTTTTGGAAAGCCATATACTGAAATTAACTGTTAATTGCAGTCATCTGTGTATCCCTGGGGTAGGATTATAAATTACAAGTAGGATTGTAAGATGATACCTGAGGGTGTTTATTTCACAGTCAGTTGTCCCTAAGCCATTTGTGAAAGACACTGCATAATTCCTTTGGCACCAGGCCAGTTATAAATAATATATGAAGGAGATGGAGTGTTTAGCTGGTGTGGTTACATAGATTTTTGTATTGAACAGATTCTTCTCCTCTCTCGACAGGATCCCACAGTCCCCCTGATAGACCTGGAGCACGTGCTCCCACTCATGTTCCAGGTCGTCATCTCAAATGCAGGCCACCTGAATGAAACGTATCACCTCACCCTGGGTCTTCTTGGCCAGTTAATCATCCGCCTTTCACCAGTGGAGGTAGATGCCGCAGTGACCAAGGTCCTCTCAGCCAAGCACAACCTGTTTGCAGCAGGGGACAGTTCCATTGTGCCAGATGGCTGGAAGACCACCCACCTGCTCTTTAGCCTGGGAGCTGTGTGTCTGGACAGGTAGCCACCCTCACTCTGCCCCACCTTGGTGTTCATTTACTTAGGTCAGTGATCTGGCTGCTGATTAATTTCAGCGTGCTTCTGTGCTCTGGTCTAGGGATCTTTTGTGAGAGTAGAATTTGTTTTATTAGCAACACTGTCAACCGACATTAAAACTGCGCTTAAAACCCACATTAAGACAGCTGTGCAGTCTGGGCACTCTCTGGTGATATATATTCTGGTTTGTTCTTTCCTGAGAGTAGTAAGTGTAGGCTTTGGGGTTGAAGAAAATAGATCTATTTTCGTTATATAAAAGTAACATAATCACAATACCAAATTTGGAAAACCAAAATGAAGGGGAAAAATCACCTTGCCTTGTACCACATCAATGCATCTGGTGCTGTTTTATTCTCCCCACTGCCACCACACTGCTTGCAGGATCTCAGCTCCCTGACCAGGGACTGAACCCGGGCCATGGCAGTGAAAGCCCAGAATCCTAACCACTAGGCCACCAGGGAACTCCCTGGTGCTATTTTAGCATATATTTCCTGTGCGTTTTTTTCTGTACGTGAATGTGAGTGTGCACAAGTGCACATGGTGCGTGACTTTTATAGAGATTTTTTAAAGCATAGCTGTAGACTTGAGTATATAAGTAACAAATCTTGATATCACACACACACACACACACACACACACACACACACACACTTATCATTATATGAAAAGCATCATTCTGGTAGTTTTTTTGTTTGTTTGTTTTGTTTTTGACTACATTTATTCCAGGAAATCAAGGAGGGTTTACAGTTTTAAAATCACTACATTAACAACAACCAAAATGGGAGTGAGGGAGTACAATGTGATCATATCAACCAGTGAAAACAAATCATTTTATAAAGCACAACAATGTATTCATGATTTAAAGAAAACCTTTAAGTAAAGAAAGAATAGAGGAGTAGGCTTCTGATCAGATAAAGAGTTGTCTAACATTCTGGTAGTTTTTAAATTAATATAATGAATGGCTCATTGGCATGCTTCTGGGTCTGCCTTTGAGTGTGGCGACCTGATGAGTTGAATTTGGAGCCTCTGCGCTGCCATCTAATGGAGCTCTTGCCTTCTAGCCGCGTGGGCTTGGACTGGGCCTGCTCCATGGCGGAGATCCTGCGGTCACTCAACAGCGCCCCCCTGTGGCGTGACGTCATTGCCACCTTCACAGACCACTGCATCAAGCAGCTGCCCTTCCAGCTGAAGCACACCAACATCTTCACGCTGCTGGTGCTGGTCGGCTTCCCCCAGGTACGCCACTGAAGGCCTGGCCTCCTCTTCATCATGTGCACAGCGTATATCTTTGGAAGTTTTTTTTCCTTTAGTTGTATAATTTGCCTTTACAGTGTTGGTATATTTTCAAGATTATGGGATGGTTTGTTCAACTTGCGTTTTTAACAGTTTTAGCCATTTGATTCATTTTCCTGGCTTTGAATCATAGGTAACTGTAATATATTAAATTACAGAGAACTTCAAAATACAGTTGTTCACTTTGGCATTCATCTTGATCTCATTTCTACTCTTCACGTCTCTCAGCTGGTTGGGACGAAGAGGACTGTGAAAACATGGCTTTATCCAGCAAGCACTTATACCAGTTCTGTGCCAGGCCTGTGCCAGGCCCTGGACTTAGAGATGGGAAGAACCCTGTCCTTGAGTGCTTGTTGAAGTCAGCAGCACAAGCAAAAGGCACTGTGCTCTATATGCTGCTGAGTTGCCTTTTCTGTCTGTGTCATGTTTAGGTCCTCTGCGCGGGGACCCGCTGTGTTTATATGGATAATGCCAACGAGCCACATAATGTGATCATCTTGAAGCACTTTACTGAGAAGAACAGGGCTGTGATCGTCAACGTCAAAACCCGGAAGAGGAAGACAGGTCCCAAGCATAATTATTTTTTCTAAGAATGAGAGGCAGTTGTCTAATCTCTGTATACCCTAAAAACAGTTAAGGTATCTTAGTTCTTCCCCTGCATGTGAATTTTTAAAAAACAAGTTATAGCTCCGTGAACTTCTTTTTGCTTGTCTCTGAAGTGATGTGGTTGAATTGGAATCACTTTGAAGGCCCTTTCCACACTGTTATTTTGTGTACATGGCTCTGTGTTTTTGAGTTGGCTAGATGTTTAGGTTCTGAACATTAACTCTTTTCATTTGCCAGTGTCATTTGTTTTCTAATGGGTAATTTAAATATATGATGGAGTCAGGTGGCTATAGGACTGTAAAATAACGTCACATAATCGTATTGGCATTCATGTCACTTTCCATTTTGTTTCATCAATAGAACAGTGAAGGTACATCATTATGTGCCCAGGTCTACTCTTGAAATAATCTGCTTTATCATTCAGCTTCAGCACTAGGCACTGTCTGTGCTATTTTTGTGTACTGTGCAATGTAAAAGTCAAGGTTTATTTATTTGTTTGTTTGTTTGTTTCCATGTGACTATCCCATTGTTCTACGACCATTTGTTGAACAGACTATTCTTTCTTCATTGAATTATCTTGGCAACTTTGTGAAAATTAATTGACCCATATATGTTTGTGTCTATTTGTAGATTCTGTGGCGTTCCATTAATCTATATATCTGTCCTTTCGCAAATACCACATTGTCTTGACTGTTGTAGATTTCTCCTGAGTATTGAAATCAGGTTCTCCAACTTTGTTATTCTTCAGAATTGTTGGCTAGTCTAGTTCCTTTGTCTTTCTGTATAATTTTAGAATTAGCTTGTCAGTTTCTATTAAAGAACCTGTTGGACTTTTTTTTTTTTAATTAATATTTATTTGTTTATTTTTATTTTGGCTGCACCGAGTGTTAGTTGTGGCATTCGGGTTCTTTCATTGTGGCATTCAGGATCATTAGTTGTGACAAGCGGAGACCTTTCAGCTGGGACGTGTGAACTCTGAGTTGCGGCATGCATGTGGGATCTAGTTCCCTGACCAGGGATCGAACCCGAGCCCCCTGCATTGGGAGCACGAAGGCTTAGCCACTGGACCACCAGGGAGGTCCCCCTGCTGGACTTTTGATTGGCACTGTATTGAATCTATAGATCCATTTGGGGAGAATTGACATCTTACCAATACTGAGTCTTTTGACTTGGGAGCATGGTATATCTCTCCATTCACTTATGGGATAAATTTGGGTCTTATAAAATGTAGATCTTTAATTTCTCTGAATTTCACATGGGGTATCAGATGCCTCTTCTCATTCCTGGCTTTGGTAATTTGTATCTTTTCTTTTTTGTATCATAGACTAGCCAGAGATTTATCAATTTATTGGATCTTTGCCAAGGACCAGCTTTTGGTTTCATTGCTTTTTCTCTGTTATATCTGTTTTCTCTTTTATTGATTTCTATCTTTCCATTATTAATTTCCTTATTTCTTCTTGCTTTGAGTTTAATTTGCTCTTTTTTCTTTTTCTGGTTTCTTAAAGTGGAAGTCTAAGTCACTGAGTTGAGACCTTTCTTTTTTTGTCGATAGAAGCATTTTAATGCTGTGAATTTCCTGTTAGGTGTGGCTTTATCCACATCCATAATTTTTGATATGTTGTGTTATCATTTTCATTCAGGTCAGAGTATTTTCTATTCATCTTGTGATTTTTTTCTCTTTCTTCTGTGATTATTTAAAATTTTGTTGTTTAATTTCCAAATATTTGGGGATATTCCAGATACCCTTCTGTTATTGATTGCAAGTTGTGGTCAGAGAACATACTATGAATGATTTCAGTCCTATTAGATTACTGCAATTTGTTTTACGGTCAAAAATTTAGTCTGTTTCAAATAAGATTCCATGTGCACTTGGAAGGAAAAAATTGCATATACTGTGTTGTTGGTAGAGTGTCCTATAGATGTCATTGAGATCAAGTCATTTGACAGTGCTGTTCAAGTCTTCTATACTCCTACTGATTTTTTGTCTATTTGTTTTAACAGTTACTGAGAAAGGAATGTTGAGGTATCCAGCTATAATTCATGTATGGTCTGTTTCTCATTTCATTCTGAAACGTTCCTTTATATCCCTAATAATATTCCATGTTCTGAAATCTACTTTAATATTGAGGTAGCCTCTCTAGCTTTTTTGTTGTTGTTGTTACTAACATTTGCATATGATGCATCTTCTTCTGTTCTTTTGCTTTAACCTCCCTGTGTCTTTACATTTCAAGTGTAGATAGCACATAGTGGAGTCTTCGTTTTTAATCCAGTCTGGCAATACCTGCTCTTTTTTTTGTTGTTTTTTTTTTAATGGAAGTGTAGTTGATTTACAATGTCATGCTAGTTTCAGGTTTACAGCACAGTGATTCAATATATATATTCTTTTTTCAGATTCTTTTCCTTTATAGGTTATTACAAAATATTGAGTATAGTTTCCTGTGCTATACAGTAGGTCCTTGTTGGTTATCTGTTTTATATATAGTAGTGTATGTCTGTTAATCTCAAACTCCTAATTTATCCCTCCCCAATACCTGCCTTTTAATTGAGATGTTTAGACCATTTGTATTCAATACACTTATCAGGATGATTGAGTTCAAATCTACTATATTCTTATTTATTTATTTGTTTGTTTGCTTGTTTTTATTTTTGGCTGTGTTGGGTCTCCGTTGCTGTGCGTGGGCTTTCTCTAGTTGTGGCGAGCGGGGGCTACTCTTTGTTGCGGAGTGCGGGCTTCTCATTGTCGTGGCTTCTCTTGTTGCAGAGCATAGGCTCTAGGTGCATGAGGTTCAGTAGCTGTGGCACACAGGCTCTAGAATGCAGGCTCAGTAGTTGTGGCACACGGGCTTAGTTGCTCCGCGGCATGTCAGATCTTCCTGGGCCAGGGATCGAACCCGTGTCCCCTGCATTGGCAGGCGGATTCTTAACCACTGTGCCACCAGGGAAGCCCCTCTACTATCTTCTTGCTTGTTTTTTGTTTGTCACATCTGTTCTTTGTTCATTTTTCCTTCTAACTTCTTTTGGATTGAGTTGTTTTTGTTTGTTTTTTTTAATGATTCCATGTTTTCTCCACTATTAGCTTTAAAGTATATCTTATTTTTTTAGTGGTTGCTTTAGGGTTTACAGTAGTTTACCTTCAAATAATTTCTTACTGGTTGCATTAGGGTTTATAATATACACCTTTAACTCATCGTGGTCTATCTTCAAACAATCTACCACTTCACATATAGTGAAGAAACATAGGTTTTATATTTTTGTTCCATCATCTTTTGTACTGTTGTTGTCACACGTTTTACTTTTACATGATATAAACCTCACAATACATTATTTATTTTGCTTTAAAAATCACATACTTTAAAAGGAATCTTAAAATGAGAAAACAATAGCTTTAATATTTAGCCACATATTTACCATTTCTGGTGCTCTTCATTCCTTTGTATAAGCTCAGGTTTGTACCTGGCATCATTTTTTTTTTTTTTCCTGAAAAACTTCCCTTAATATCTCTTGTAGTGCAGGTCTGCTGCTACAAAATCGTTATTTTGGTTCGTCCTGCCAAACCAAAGAAATATTTACTTTGACTTCATCTTTGAGATGAATTTTTCTAGGTAAAAAATTGTAGGGCTTCCCTGGTGGCTCAGTGGTTGAGAGTCCTCCTGCCGATGCAGGGGGCACAGGTTCGTGCCCTGGTCCGGGAAGATCCCACGTACCGCGGAGCAGCTGGGCCCGTGAGCCATGGCTGCCGAGCCTGCGCGTCCGGAGCCTGTGCTCCACAACGGGAGAGGCCACAACAGTGAGAGGCCAGCGTACCGCAAAAAAAAAAAAAAAAAAAAAAAAAAAAAATTGTAGGCTGAGAGTTTTTCTTTGCACACCTTAAAAATATTGATGACTTTTCTTCTGGTTTGCATAGTTCCTGCCATGAAGTCAGCTGTCATTCTCTGTTACTCTTCAAAATGTGTCTCTTTTCTCTGCCTGCTTTTAAGATTTTTCTCTTAATCACTGCTTTTTAGCATTTTGATTATGATGTGCCTTGGCATGATTTTCATTGTGTTTCTTCTGCTTGATGGATTAAAGAGCTCCTGGATCTATAGATTTATAGTTTTCATCAAATTTGGGATTTTTTTGATCATTATGTCTTCAAATAGTTTTTTTGCCCCCGACTAGGACACTTCCACTCTCACTGGTCAGAAGACAGAATATTCTCAGAGTTCTCTGTGAGCTCCAAGAATTGTTCTGCCTACTGCTTTTTGACAGTTCTTGCCTAGAACTAGGTAGTTTCCTATCTAGTTTTCTCTCACATTTGTGTAGACCAGTATTCAGCCAAGTACTCATGAGGAACCCTCTGTAGATATCTAGAGAGGTCTCCCACACACCCCTCTCTCTGTACATCTCCCTTCTCTCTGATATTCTGCCCCATAAGTTCTAGCTGCCTTGACTTCCCTGAACTCTGACCTCTGTCTCCTCAGTTCATTAAAACTGGACTTGGATTTCCACTCCAGGCTGTGCAGGCTGGAAAGTGTCTCCAGATAGCCAGGGCTATTGGAAGGCTCACCTGATTTATGTCCCTTCTTTCAGGGGTCATCGTCCTGTACTACCTATTGTCCAATGTCTGCAAACCATTGTTTCATGTATTTTTCCAGGGTTCTGGTTGTTTAATGTAAGAGAGTAAATCCGATCCCTTTTACTCAGGCTTGTTCTGAAATGGAAGTCTCTCAAGTGTTCTGTGTTTATGAACTTCCTTTAACACCTTTGGAGACAACCTGTTTGTGTGAGTAGTAGGAATGTGAATTGCATCTCTTGGTGGCTTGGTGGGTAGGTGGCCCAGTACCACTTTTGTGCTCAGCTGCAAGCTGGCCTTAAATACAATGGCTAAGTTTGAAGCCAGAGAGATTTGTGTTTTGGGGTCTGCAGTTCTTGCTTCAGTAAGGCACATTACTGGGGAAGAAACTTATCTGCAGGAAGTATTAACTGTGCTTTTTGTGCCTTCTTTTCCTGCCTGACATCACCCTTCAGTGAAGGACTACCAGCTGGCCCAGAAAGGAGGAGGACCAGAATGCAGCAACTCTCAGGCCCAGCTGAGCCAATACTCCCAGCACTTTGCCTTTATTGCCAGTCACCTTCTGCAAACCAGCGTGGACAGCCATTGTCCCGAGGCAGTGGAAGCAACTTGGGTCCTGTCCCTGTCCCTCAAAGGATTATACAAAACACTAAAGGTAGTGGTGAGCTTCTAGCATTTGCTAATGAATCTGGCTGTGATTTAACACCTGCAGGGTATTACCTAGAAGGAAGTACCATCTGATTTCAATGGACGGTTAATCATAGGATCTTGATTATTTTTAGAATTAATTGGCACCTTGCACAAGGATAACTTTAAGGAAGAAACAGAATTTTCCCAATAGTTGGTTCTCTGTAGTTTTTCAGTCCTGCCTCATGGAACCAGGTACCACTACCTAATGGGCCCATAACCTTGGAAGATGAGAAGAAAAATTGACTGAACAGTTTCTCACTTGCCTCTGAACCATGGTCCCTTCTGGTTCATCCTAGGAAGAATAAAGGGGGCTAATATCTTACGGATCTTGGAGCAATAGGTTTGGCATTTGGTGTGAGAGAAGACAGACAAGTTAAAGAGCTGGGCGATAACTGACATGGAGATGGGAAGCCTTGACTTGTGGGGAACATGATTCTTCTACCATCTGAGGGGCATCGATAGGGAGGATCTTTCCAACAGAACTAGCCACGAGACAAGGATCTCATTTGGAAAGTTTATGCGTTCCCTGACTTTGGCAACACTGGCGAGGAGGCCGTGGAACCACTCAAGCACCACAAGGAGATTGGACTAGATGGCATTTCAGCTCTGGCCCAGCCCTGAGAGTTTATATTTTTAGGCTTGAGACCACACATCTGCTGTTTGTTGATTTCATGGCATTTATCACAATCTACTATTGTTTTCGTTGTTTACATTACAGTAGGAAAGAGAAAATAAACTCCCTGAGGGCAGAGACCATTTCTGTCTTTGAATCCTTCATTCCGTAAATATTTGTCGAGCACCAGGGGCCAGATGGAACTGAGTACATAGTGTTGAACTAGAAAGAATGTCCCTGCTGTCATGGAGCTTTCAGCCTGAACTGCAAGGGAGACAACAAAGAGCCTGCAAGGAAATCCACGAGTCAGAAAGAGCCTTTCTGAGGAGGTGAAATCTGAGGTGATAGATAAGGAGTCTGGGCAGAGCATTACATCCTGGGAGAGGTCAAACTCCAGGCCTGGTTGTCAGGGAGCAGAAGGAACTACCTTAGGGCTTCAGGAAAGTGCCGAGGAGGAGATGAGACCACAGAGACAGGCAGGGAGCCTGCAGGACCTTGTCAGCTATGAATAGGGACTTGGATTTCAGTCTGCAGGGCAGTGGGAAGCTTTTGGAAGGTAGAGAGCAGGAGAGGGACATAAAACCTCTGTTCTTAGCACAGGACTCAACACGTAGAATGTACGAGGCTTCACAAATACTTGTTGAGTGAATGAATTAGAGAGCGAACAGACTTAGCTTATGGCTCAGGTTCAGAGTTTCATCCACCCCGTTGACTCTGGAATTTTCACCAGAAGGTGAACTTGGGCCACTAGCTGAGACTGGGCTCTGACAGAGGCCTGCTTCTCCCGAGTGACCCTTAACCTTCTTCACTCCGAGGCAGCTGCAGATCATTCTTTTTCTATTTGGCAGGCTCATGGTTTTGAAGAGACCCATGCTACCTTCCTTCAGACTGATTTGCTGAAGCTGCTGGTGAAAAAGTGCAGCAAAGGGACCGGCTTCAGTAAAACGTGGCTCCTCCGGGACCTGGAAGTAAGGGACCAGGGTGATT